TCAATGTCTTCTATGTACCTAGGTATAAATGAAACATATTTATTCATATATTTTGTAAAATTATCCATTTTATTGAACTGTAATATTATAACACAATCATAAGTGTTGTAAAAAATATTTTTAAAAAACATTAATGTAATTACTCAAATATTTTAAAATAAAGTATTTAAAATACAACCCAAATACTATAAATATAGAAGTAGGTATTTGAAATAATCTTCAAATACAAAAAAAAACCTCTATTTAGTCCTAAAGTAATTTGTCATAAGTAATCAGAAATTTGTTTATTGCATTTTAAAAACAATTAGTTACACCACAACAATGAACTTTTCTCTACAGAGAGTTATATTAATTTATAGCTATATTATGTATTTTAATATCCCATATTGTCTTCAATGATAAACAATAATGATAATTGATAACCATTTTCTTGGTAAATACTAAATAGGTAGTATTAATAATTTGTAATAATATTTTCGTATAGTTAAATAATTTTAATGTATAATAGCTGGTAAGAAGAATCTTATTGCATATATATTTTGTTGTTGGCTTATTAAGCTAATACTGGTACCAATGTACCATTTCGATTGTCATCAACAATAAACTATTTCCTGGAGAAAAAAAAACATTTAATTAAGCTATAAATCGACGAAAACCGGTATCAAATTGTCCATAAATGATAAATAAATAATATAATATTGTTATAACGCATCACCATGACGGCACAGGAATTTTTATTTAACAAGAGTTGTAAATAGAAATAAATTAAGAATTAAAAGAAAAAAAAAGTATTTAAAAAGCCATACAAATACATAAATAAATAGCATTTAAAAAAGTATTCAATACAGAAAAATGTATTTGAATACTTTTACTCAAATATTTTACAACACTGACATAGCTTCATACCCTATCTCAGTTTAACACTAATTATGTACCTACTCTATTATACATTATTCAGAACAACATATCTCTATTGAATACAACCTCATGCAACTTTTTATTTTCTGATAGAAATTAATTTGCTTTAACCAGTGTGAAAAAAGGGCACTGAACATATTGATATGTCCCAGTATATTTGTACACTTGTCGACGAAGATCGAAAAGATACATCTGTAGACTATTTGTTTCAGTCAATAACAAAATAAATATGTAAAAAGCTTCAGTTTAACTGCTATTATACTTTATAGCTTATAGCTTATAATTATTTAACCATACAAATACATTATTACTAATTATTTGTACCTACTACCCACCTATTTACCTAGAAAATTGTTATCAATAAATATCATTATAGTTTATCGTCAAAGACGATCGATGACTGTTTGAGATATCCAAATACATATAGCTTTAAATTAATATATAACCGTATATAACTTAGTAGAGAAAAGTTCATTGGTGGTGTTATAAAAACTTTATTTTAAGAGTATTTGAGTAATTACTTAAATACTTTTAAAAAGTAAATGAAGTATTTTTTACAACACTGATAATTGGTGAGACTGTGAGGGAAATATTATATTGTATATTAAGGGCAAGAGTTAGCTAAGTAACAGAAGAAAGTACCTATTTAATGTTATGTGTAGTTAAGAATCCTATTTTTTGTTCTAACTTATTCTTCATAATATACTTTATTGCCGTTATAAATTTGTCCTTGGTAATTGATTAATTGTAGGAACATGATGAAAATGTATATAAAAAACACTAAATACCGACTCGGTATTCAATTTTAAATACATATCAGTGTTTTCTTTTTATTTATGGCAGTCTAAATGAAAAGTTTTAGAAAAAGAATATGTACAAATGGACCAGGGGCGGATCCAGAGTTAGGAAACTGTGGGTCAGGAAATTTCAAGGGGCCACTTACTAAAACCAAATTAGAAATCTATACTTGTGTACTAGGTATATAAAACAAACAAAAAGGTGCTCCGCTGTACAGTAGATTACAAGTGGGTCACTGTATAATGGATAGTATTAAATTTGAATTCAATGATATAATATCATTGTATAATAAAAACGATTCTGAGCGGAGACGGTATGTCAGTCTAGGTATAAGGCATATTATTTTCTTATCTATCGTATTAAAAAAAATTTACCTATAATAAATTCCAAATTAACCATATCCCAATATCCATTAGGTACTTATAATGCGTTATACGTCAACAACAAACCCTGATACTATCATAGTCCATACTCCATAGGTATATAATAGTGTACTTTAGAAGTTTCAAGTACCCACGAATAATATTACACAATCACAAAAAAATAACTAAAATAGTTATTCTAGGTTTTTTTTTATGAAATTTTATCCAAAGTTGAACTTAAAATGACTATAAAAATAAACTGTGCTTATGTATTTTTTAGATTTTTTGGTAACAGAATTAACTACAATGGTGAAATCATGTTTTAAATTTTCAATCCTTAGATATAAAAGTTGAACATTTTATACATTTTTAACTACAAAATAATTATTCAATTTTAAATTTGATAAATTTTGTCAAAATTCAATCTTTAAATGCTTATAAAAAAAATTGTGCAGCCTATGTATTTTTAATATTTTTCAACTGATATTGTAACAATATATCAGGAGCCTTATATTAAATTTTTACACTTTTTGGCATAACAGATAAAACTTTATTGATATTTATAGAAAAAAAAACTAAAAAAATTGAAAACTGAAAATGTCCTTAAACAGCTCAAAAAGAGTCAAAATATTTTTGCTGTATACCTAACCTGCTGTATATTAGGTTACAACTTACAAGTGGGGGTCGCTGTAATGGATGGTATTAAATTTGAATTTATAATTATATATATAATATTATTGTATAAGAAAAACAATTATTTTCAAAATTGTACATTGTATAGGAAATGCTAATATGAACATTCAGTGAAATTTTCATTTATCTACAGTTATTTGTTTTTGAATTACAACAAAATAAGGAAATCGCTACATGAGAAATCGAGTGAATATCCAATGTTGTAAAAATTTGAATTTCAAACGCTCATAAAAATTTAATTTAACTTTCCGGTAGAGATTTTTTTATTGATAAAGGTAGACAAACTTATGAGTAATCTTGTATTACATTTTCAAATCTTAGATTTAAAAAGAAAAAATTTTACGAATTCTTAACTAAAAATAATTTTATATATTTCGTGATTTTTCCATATTTTGTCAATTTTTGAACTTTAAATGCTTATAAAAGAAAATTGTGACTAACTATTTTTCATCTGCCTTTAAACAATATACTAGGAGCCTTATAATACATTTTCAAGCTTTCTAAGCTAACAAATAAAATTTTATTGATATTTTTAGAATAAAAACTAAAAAAAAAATGGAAAATGAAAATGTCCCTAAACAGTTCAAAAGAAATCATAATATTTTAAAAATTTTATCGTGTATAGAAAATGCAAATATAAGCAACCAGTGAAAATTTCATGTATTTACGTTCATTTGTTTTAGAGTTACACCAAAAACCAAAATTGATTTTTTGGAAAACAGATTTTGAGTAAAAATTTCCGTTATTCCTTAATTTTTATGTGTTTAATCCCGGCGCTTGTGAAAACTATTGGGAATTTTAAAATGTTACCTCCCGAATGCACCAACTAGATTCACTTTCCAATCGAACAAGATACTGAAGTTGAAAATCGAAGCATTATTTTGACTACCTATCGTGTACACAGACACAAAAATAAATCAAAAAAATTAAAAAAAAAAAAAACACACATTGTAAAATCAATACATTCATCGTTTCACTCAGAATCTAAAATTCATTTATACTATATGTGTGTTTATTTAAGTGTCCAACTACTCAAGATCTGAAAAGAGGCCAATTTGATCAGAAAATATTAACTGTGGGTCAGCTGACCTCCTGAACCCTCCCCTAGATCCGCCCCTGAAATGGACACACTACAAACACTTCTTACAAGTTGGTCGTACCAACTGAAAGGTTTGATATATAAGGTACCCAGTGCCGCAACTACACCATTTTGGGCCCGTGTGTAAATAAAATGGATTCCCCCCCCCCCGCTTGAAAATTGAAAATTGACTTATTCACTATTGTAAAATTAATTTTTCCAAATTTTAAAACATACTTTGAATTTTGAGTTATTACTCAATAATCAATACTTATACAAAATAAGGTAAACATATTTAAAAAATGTAGGTAATTTATTTACAAAAAAATAAATATATCATCACTTTAAAAAATTCATTTTTCTTGCTTTTTTGTTAGCAAAATTGTCTATTATATTTTCAATGTTAATAGCATTTGTTTGTTTTTTTTTCAATATTAAGCAAAGCTATACTTGAAAGTCTTTCTTGGCCGATTGAGTTCCTTAAGTAGTTTTTGATAAGTTTAAGCTTTGAAAAAGATCTCTCAGCTGAAGCAGAAGTCACTGGTATAGTCAAAAAAATTATAATAAGTACCAATAAATACATCAGGAAATATTGATGTCAAATCTTCCTTGACAATAGTATCAGCTAAATCATGAATTGACATATTTATTAAATGATCGGTTTGATATTTGGAAGATAAATAGCCCTTGATTATAATAAGTTGACGAGTGAAGTCAGAACTGATATCTTCTTTATATTTGGTAATAAAGTCATATGATGACTGAACAATCAATTCATCAGCCATTGACGTTAATATTTCAGGCATTAATATATTAAAATCATCACACACAGTTTTCATTCCTTTAAATCTAACTCTTAACTGTAATAGTACTGTATCTACAACTGGGTAAAAGATAGTAACTCTAAAATTATCATCAGTTGTAGTAAGCCGGCGATCACTGTCTACTTCATCAAAATATTTTTTAGCATATCTTTGACGTATTTCACTTAACTTGAAGGGTATATTCCACTTCATACACAAATTTCTTGAATCTTCTAATATTTGGTCATATTGATTCCGCAACTTTTCTATAATTAAAATAGCACTTTCTAATTGTGTTGATGCTCTTTGTAAGCTTAAATTTACTGATTGCATACTCTTTGAGGCCACTTATAAAGATTTTAAAATGGGTTCCCATATACATAGGATAATTACAAATTCAGCATTTTCCATTTTTTTTTTTAAAGTTGTAACCATATTTATTTCATCTTTTTTGGAACTTGAAAGCTTGATATTAGAAAGAGCTTTCAAAACATCAACAAACCTATGTTTTAATGAAAATAAAGCATTATGTCTTGCTTCCCACCGAGTAGGACACACTTTTTTTAAAGTTATTTTATTTATTTTCATCCCGTACTCTTCACCGAAGGCTAGCTGAGCCCATCTTGGTGAACTTGAGCTAAAAAAATTATAAATGTCTTGCACACTATCAAAAAATGATTGTATTTTCCTTGAACTTTTAGCAGCATCACATAAAACTAAATTTATATTATGGGAACAGCAATGAACAAACGTAGCGTTGGGCACAATATCACAAATTCGTTTTTGAACACCTGTTATTGAACCACTCATCACTGCTGCCCCATCGTACCCTTGACCCCGACATTTCATAATATTTAAATCCAATTTCATTAAAGTATTTTGTAAAAGTTCCACATAATTTGCTGCACCATGATGGGATAGTAAATAAAAACCAAAAAATGACTCTTTAATTTGTATTTGTTTCTTTTCAAAATCTAATGTGGTATAACGAATTACAAGACTAACTTGGTCTTGTTTGGTTATGTCTTGAGTAGAGTCTAATATAACAGAAAAAAAACTACTAGATCGTATATTATTACAAATTAAATGACGTAACTCTGTAGATAAAATGTCTAACAACTCATTCTGAACAGACCAACTTAGATACTTAATTTTTTGATTTTCGTCATGTAAAATACTATTTAGAATAGGATCAAACTCTGCGAGTAATCGAACTGTTCTTAAAAAGTTTCCTTCGGTGGCATTCTTAATTTTAATGCTTCCTTCATTTCCTCTTAAAGCACAATTTCCTGCTGTTGTGGAAAGTATAATTTTTATCAACCTTTTCAATACATTCCTCCATTTCATTGCTTCGTCAGTATATTGTTTTTCTAAACTAGCGTCAATGGTTTCATTTTTAATCCAAATGGACCGAACTTTGGCAGCATCCAAATGTTGAATAGATGATTCATGTCTTTGAATACTTTGTGACAAGTGATTCCAATCATTGATACCATATATCCAATCCCACTTAAATATGCTATAAGATCTATCAGCAAACAGCCAACATGATTCGCAATACACGCAGTCTAAGTTATAAGAATAACATAGCCAAGCTCTTGGAATTTTTGTACCAGATTTAGTTGTTAAAAAATAAAAACTAGATGAAAAACGTTTACCATTAATGTTTACTGGAAAGTTAGTATCTGGCTTACAGGGTCCATATAATAGCAAACTTCTTATTAAATTTGAATCAGTAATAGTCCATGGAAATTTGGCTATGTCTGTAGGAAAATCATCTTGGAGATTCAGCATACTATTCAAATCTATATTTTTTAATAAAGCATACCCAATACAAAGATAATAAATTTGTGTTTACAAAAATAATCAAAATTAAAACTATTAAAATGTGTACATATTAATTATAGTATAGAATAAAACAGAAGTTTTTAAATCAAAAACATTAGGTAGGTATTAAAAAATATTTTACAACACTGAAATACTATTAATATAATATGTACTCATTAAATTTCAAAAATCAATTTTTGAGCTAGTGTATACCTGTAGAAGTGCTAACATCAGGAGAGTTATTATTCTCATTCTCGGTTGTATTATTTATGTCGTGTCCATCTTGTTTTGAATCTGAAATACTTTTCAGATCATTTTCAGATATTTGTCCAGCACTTTTAAATTCTACATCACATTCCACAACTATAAAAACAAAATTAAATATGTTATTATTGTTTTATTTATTATATTACATATAAAGTATAATGATTAATCATAGAATTTGAAATAATTCTCAAAATTAAAAATTATTTTACAACACTGAAATACTATTAACATAATAGGCCTTAAATTTCAAAAATCAAATTTTTTAGCAAGTGTACCTATACCTGTAGAAGTGCTAACATCAGGAGAGTTATTATTCTCATTCTCAGTTGTATTATTTATGTCGTGTCCATCTTGTTTTGAATCTGAAATACTTTTCAAATCATTTTCAGATATTTGTCCAGCACTTTTAAATTCTACATCACATTCCACAACTATAAAAACAAAATTAAATATGTTATTATTGTTTTATTTATTATATTAAATATAAAGTATAATGATTAATCATAGAATTTGAAATGATTCTCAAAATTAAAAATTATTTTACAACACTGAAATACTATTAACATAATATGACTTAAATTTCAAAAATTAAATTTTGAGCTGCTAGTGTACCTATACCTGTAGAAGTGCTAACATCAGGAGAGTTATTATTCTCATTCTCAGTTGTATTATTTATGTCGTGTCCATCTTGTTTTGAATCTGAAATACTTTTCAGATCATTTTCAGATATTTGTCCAGCACTTTTAAATTCTACATCACACTCCACAACTATAAAAACAAAATTAAATATGTTATTATTGTTTTATTTATTATATTACATATTAAGAGGCCGTCCTAGTAAAAGTGAAACGAATGCAACGCTCAAGAGATGGCATTGTGCGCCGTATCGCCGCCGTCGCGGTAGGCCGTAACCACGCCCATCGTGTACGCGACGGGGCCCGCTTGTTGTAATCGCGGGAGAGGTACATTATTATTTCACGGACGGTTGTACAGGACGTTTCGCGTCATTACAGACCGTTGCGTAAATTGTCGCCTATGAATTCTACATGGTGCGCTGCCTCCTAGCTCATAAGTCGCAAACCTACTTTTTAATTAAAGCTCCTGTTTGCATAAAAATATTAACCAATGAATTAAGCATAACAATTATTATATTCCATAACTCGATTTATATTTCTAACCCAATTATCTACTTTTTAAAATACAAGTAAAATAATAATTTCATTAGAATTAAATAGATTTTTTAGTAAAAGTGTAACGTATTTTACGTTGTAACTTATAAGTGACATGAAGCAATGTTTGTACGATAATTTAATCTATTAAATAAATATTAGCTACATTTTAAATAGTTTTGATTATATAGTTAATATTGATGTATTTTCTTATTTTAATTTTAAACATATAATACATATAATATGAAGTTGATGTTGTCCATAATGTTTATTAAATAAATATAAATAAAATAATATATTAATTATATAATTGCAATTTGTAGTACCTATGTAAAAAAAGCAATCTGTATAAACTAAACATGTTCATTGATCATAATATCATATAATGTATATAAATTAAAATTAAATTATGTACAGACCACATTTGTTATATATAATAGTTAATTGAAACAAAACATTTAGATTAATGACAATTTATTATAATTGATAACTTAAATTAATGGTATAGGTAGCGTAGATAGTGTAACTGACGTATATTATATTCTAGTATACTACCTATGCTTTTATTTTATGAAATATCATAATATGTACATTATATTATCTATATGTAAAAAGGGCATAGTAAGTTATGCATGTAATAATAAAATAAAATATAATAAATAATATTATGCCCTTAGAATTTTACATATTTGTTTTGCGATGTAATAAAAAAACAATTATAGTCCCATGTAAAATTAATTTGTAGGTATACAAGTTAAATAAATAAATATGATACAAATATTTGTATTACTTAGTTTTAAAATAATAAATAAAAATGGGTGCAAATATTTAATATTAAATATTTTAAATTTTTAAATTTTGATGGATTTAAACCATTAAATTTGGATAAATATTGGCTTTATTATTATGACGCTGAACATTTTTTCTTTCTAAAGAGTCTTCATCAAACTCTTGATTTTTAGTGTAATTATTGTGTTTATGAGACCTATATAGTATTAGATTATGAGTAATGTTAGAAAAAAATCCCGCTAGAAGCTTTGTACTCCACGTCTCCACACAAAGGTTTGATATCAGGGGCGGACTGGGGCAACTATTCAGCCCGGGAAATCTATATTTTGACCAGCCCTCACCATTTCGTCATCAGGGTTGCATCCTCTACTCATCTTCAATTTTCTCAGGAGGCAACTTTAGATTCTCAATGTGTTTAGTATTTTATCTTAATTACATACTGCATAGTATAATGTATCACTTTCTGTGGATGAAAAACATAGGTCGTTCTTACTACTTTAAGTTTTAACTTGATATTTCTAAGAGTATCCTTTCTCTCTCTCTCTCTATGATTTTCTGAACCCCACACTTTCTTTTAGTTTTCATTTTAAACAACAAATAGATAAGTAAATATTACAAAATCATCAAACAACACACTACAATAAAATAAAAAAAGTTCAAAAATTCACTTTTTTGAATTAAGAACGTTACATTGAACTTACGGAACTGTACCTTTTAGTTATCAGCTTATTTAATTAAATTATCACAAATTATTTTTTATATTTTTTTATTATGTAATTACTATTATATTATATTTTTTATTGTGTACAATTTAATATTAGGTATTAGGTAATATTAAGTGAATACTGGCTGGCTAGAAGTGGATATATTAATCGATTGGTTTAATAAAGTCATATTAAGTTATAAATAGGGCATGGATATAAATACAATAAAAAAACAAGAAAAATGCCTTAAAATACGATTTTATGCACTAGTTACAATATTACAAAGCTTAATAAAATGCCCAGAAAAATTAAAAGCCAATTTAAAATAAAATGAAATAGGTAGAACTTAAATAGGTATAGTCGTTAAATTTTGTATTTCATTATATTATCACTGGTCAGTCAGAAGCTAACTAATATTTTAAAATAAAAAACTTTGACAGTTATAATTGGCAAGTATTGTTTTGTATACCTAACTGAAGTCATAGGAGTAAACATAAGACGTAATAAAATAGAAATATTAGTAAAAAAAAATGATTTTTAATTATATTGAATCAATTTAAGCAATAGTGTTTATAAAATTGTATTTATACTTATAAAATTTACCAAAAATGCCTTCAAACCATAAAAATGTCATAAAAACGTCAAAAAAATGTTCTAAAAATCAATAAAGTTAAAAAAATGCTAAATAAAAATTTCATTTTTAAATTATTTTATGTATGAAATACATTTTTTTGATTGGAAAGCAATGTTTAAGAAAATGTAGAGAAAAATACAATTTATATTTAAATTCACACCCTAGTTATAAATAATAATTTGTGATTATGCATTGATGCCGAAGGGCTGGTCAATCAGCTGAACCGAAATCTAAAATCTTATACACCAATTAATATAATATAAACAATTTTTCACACTCAACCGTTATGATATGAAAATACAAAATATTTATAATTTATATTTATACCTACCTACTGATTTTATTATAAATAAATAATAATAACAAATTATTTTTGAGCAGTGGCCCACCGGGAAAGTTCCCGGTATCCCGCCGGCCCAG